AGCTTTTCCTGAATACAAAGTAAGGCATTTAGAATTACCATCGAGGTGTATTCAGTGTGGAATGCATTGTAAACACTGCCACCACCTGCAAATATGTGCTGTCCTTCAGGTCCTCCCCTGGCCCTGTTCAAGGCATCTGGGATACATCAATGAGCAAAAACAAAGATCTCTGATCTCATAGTGGTGGGAAGAGGTACTGATGGGAAGACAGATAAGAAACATAAACACCAAAGAATATTATACTTATATCACAAGGAGATGAATGCTATGAGGAAATGTCCCACCTCCAAAAAAATAAAAATAAAAAAGAAAATAGACCAGCAGTACCAGGGGCTGGGGAATACAGCAGTCTCAATTTTTAAAAGCATGGGAAAAGTTGACCTCATGGAGAAGGGTATAATTGAGCAAAGACTTGAAGGCATTGCAAGAATTGTTGAAGATTTGGCTCTATATGAAACTAGCCTGGTCCTTGATGTTGCAAGTTGAGGACCAGAAAAGAATATGTTAAATGAATGCCCTTGTGAAGGAAAAACAATTTCAAACGTCTGATCGCAGATTTAATGGAACCATTTTCACATGCAGAGGATGCTGTATCTACCCCATTGTGGCTACTTCTATGGTTAGCTATCTTCATAGGAGTGGCAGATCCTCTCAGCCAACCAGCTACTTTGTGTTGTACAAGGCTGGTGCTTTCTGATTCCCCATGGATGATTCCCAACAGAACCAGATAATGACAATAGGGGTCAAGCTACTACAGCTCTTCTGTGACTTGGGGATGAAGCTGTGTAATAAAATAGTAATGAACACGACTCAAACACTTGAGATCAGAGACTGACACACAAGGCCTAAAGGGAACATGGACAGTATAAAATGCAAATCCTTATTTAACAGATGAGAAAACAAGGTTCAGGGAGGCGAAATGACCTAATCAAGGTCACAGAGTAAGGCAGTAACAAAACCAAAGTCAGCTAAACTGAAAACCAGTATGTTTCCCATAAATTTCAGGTTTCTGTCTTTTCTGGTTGAACTCCTAGTTCACATTCCTTTCACCAACCATCTACACACAGATTCTGAGCAATATTTAAAGACAAATTGCAAAAGAAGATCACTTTTTTGACATAAAGAAAGCACACATAAATGACAAACATTTGTATAATAGCACTATGTGCTAGACATTGTTCTACCTGTTTTTAATCATCACAGACGTATAATTAGTACCTGCCTCACAATCATTTCTATTTTACAGCTGAGCCAATGAGAAAGAGTAGTTAAGTAACCTACTCCAAATCACTTTGCTTGTAAAGGCATAGCAAGCATGTGAACCCAGAGTGTTTGGCTGGAAAATCTGTTCTCTTAATTCTTATTTTAAATGCTTCTAGATATATGTGAATAATTGGTTATAACAATGTGATTACTAATGAAAACAATATTTTTGTGATTGTTTTAGCTAGAAGTTCTCAAGATGGATATTAATTTTAAGACACATTATTGAATACTTATCGAGTGGCTACTGAATTCCAGCCAGAGTGCAAGTTACTTTAAGTATAGTCATTTTTTCCCAGGTAATAAACCATCTTTGATATGTCTCTAAAGCCTATAAATTTTTACAGCATCATGAAAAGCAGCTACAACAAATTAGGCACATCCTTCTATAGTGATTCAATAGTTTCATAAAATTAGAATTGATCCAGTAGATTCTCCCTTGACAATTATGTCTGGCAAGAATCTTTCACTATTACCTGTGCTCTCCAATGCCTGCAATGAAACCTGTGGTCTGAAAGGAAACACTCATTTTATTTTTGGTCATTTTATCTTTTTTTTTTAATCAGTCTCTAGAAACAAGCACGATAAAAATGGCTAAAGATCATGCATTTTTCTAAGCACTTTGCATGCTTTCCTGTAGGTATCTATATGTGTATGTACATCTGTTGAGGTATAGTTTACTTCTAGTGAAATAAACAGCTATTAGCTACATAGGCCGGTGAGATTTACAGATCTGAAAGTCGTTGGGAACAATATTCAAACAGGAGAGGGAACATTTTTATCACCCAAGAAAGTTTCCTTGTGCCTTTTCTTAATCAATTCCCATCCCCAGAGGTGGTGGCTGTTCAGATTTCTATCACATTTGAAGTTTTTGGTCTTAGCTATAATCCGATGAGGTGTTATGCCAAGGGATGCCTAACTTTGAGACCTGCATTCTTGGCTACCATACTGTCCTCCTACAACTCTGCCCAATAGATACATAGACCATCTCAACAGTGTTCTCCCAGAGAGTGAAGCCACAGCTTAATTATGTCCTAGCTTCTCTCCTATGCATCTGGAATATGCACCAACCTTGAGAGAACAGAAAACATGGTCGCTCAAATCACTGTCTACTTTCTTTGGTTCAGTTGAGAAACTCTCTTTAGAAAAACAGAGCGGACTAATGTAAACACATAGAAGTCAAAAGGTGGGGTCAATGAATGAGGTGGATATGCCCTCTCAAAAGAACAGGAGCTGACCAGAGGGCACCAGCCGCTGTGCCCAAGAAATCAGATCGGGGATGCCCATCTTCAGCTTTTTCTAGAAGATCTAGACATCTAGACTTTTATAAGGTATCTTAGGATGTTTAAATGTGTAACTAATTAAAGAAAAAACAATACTTTGTGAGCCAAAATGTACCTATAGTCCAAACCTTTGGGTTGCCAGTTTATGACCTGCTTTTTGGATCAGCAGCCTGGAAACATCAGAGAGAGAGAGAGAGATGGGGACACAAAAGGTCTCAGCCAATGTTAGGAGTTAAGCTTTCTCATTACTTGGTAAAAATTATGCTCTCCAGACGCTGGCCTATTACCAATATTCCTGACCCCTGAGGGAAGCAGATAAGGACTTTGGTAAGCACACACTGAAAAAGTAACAAAAAGAATGTTGCAAGGGTGAATGGAACCCAATAAAGAAAGAGAAGGAAAGGGCTAGAAAGATTACAGAACAAGAGAGAGGAGAGAAGTCAACCATAGGTAACAACAGGAATGAAAGGAACACAGCGTGGCTCTGTTTTCCGCTGTCCTTACCCTAGAGCAGTCTTCTTTCATTGGATACACAGCACTGATACCACAACCTCAATCAGGGTTAGTACAAGATGTGGTCGAATGATTCATTTAGAGAGAGGAGTTTACCCTGATATTTATTTACTCTGAACTCGATGAAAATAGTTTCAGTGGCTGAATACGTCAACTCCAGCAAGTAACAGCAGGGTTTCCAGGCATTCACAATATATTATTATTATTTAGAAGTCCAGAGAGTCTGATCCTATCACACTGGCAAGGAAAAGTGGTCTGAACAAGGAGGGGGTTTCTAATCCCTGGCAATATAGTTTTTATCAGGGAATTGTGCTTGCTCTAATAGGTGCCATTGCTTTACAGTGAAAAAGAAGAATAAAGTGATTGCATCCCTATCCTCCTACACAGCCTGGGCTCCATCAATACAACCACCAGCAAAGCTTTCTGAGCAAACCAATCTCACAGGATTTATATACTTAGTGAACCATGGTGACATGTTTCTCCCGAGTCCTACAGACCTGTCTGAGAGGCAGGTCAGAGGCTACAGCTTACATGGTTTTCTTTCTATGAGGCACTTCACACTCGGCAACAGGAATTTGAAACAATGTTGAAGACCTTTCTGTGTGGCAAACGAAAGTGAAACAAAGGGAAATGCATACCTCTAGAGAAATTTGGGCAACATAGGAAAAGCAAACCAGACAATTCAGAGTAAAACATCCTCTCCTCTGCTGGTTGTCTCAATTCTTCATTTTACCTTGATCTGCCTATTTCACTCTTTGTTGATTTGTCTGGGGCTATCTCAGTTCATCTGAACCATATGTATTAATATGTCTGACATATTTAAGTGATTACTGTGTACAAAGGACAATGCTAAGCACATTATCTGTACAATCTCTCAACACCCCATGAGGTAGATACTTTTATCATGTCCATTTTAGAGATTAGAACATTGGGACACATTTGGAGACAATGTAACTTGTCTAAGGCCTCACAGCCAGGATCCCAGTCTGTGTTTGACTCAGATCCAGAGCTCAGTGTACAATATAAACATTTTTCTTCCACCTCAAGATGATCCCACCTTCCATTTTTTCTTTCTTACTATTCTCCCTTTCCCTACAATCAATCACCTCTCTGGTTCACAAATGTATGGAGTCCTCACCATGGAATGTGCATTGTTCAGACGACTAAGGTGAGTTCAAGGAGCCACCGTTTTTGCCGGGAGAAGGCTCAAGGAAATATGTTCAGAGAAGAGTGTAGAAAGAGTCCAGGAAAAAATGGAGAAACGGTGAAATGACTCAAACACGCGGCCTTAAGGGAGACAGATGAAGAGTTGTTCTTAATGAAAAGGAAGAACCTCAGGATTACAAAAATCATAGGTTGTGAAAACAGAAAAACATTCAGGGGTATCAGATCATCTTACAGACGGGAAACGTGAGATCTGAAGATGAACGGGGCCAGGACCTGACCTAAGAATTCTGACCACCTCTACCTTCCTCCTCTCTCAACCCCACTTCTGCCCCCGGTACCAGCGCGTTCCTCAGACATAGCTTAGGAAACTATCCAAGATGCTCGAAACCAGAAGCGTTTCTGACTTCAGATTTTTTTTGGATTTTGGAATATTTGCATTATACTTCCCATTGAGTATTCCAAATCTGAAAACCAAAAATCTGAAATGTTCCAATAAATATTTCCTTTGAGCATCATGTCAGCGCTCAAAAAGTTTCAAACTGTGGAACATTTCAGAGTTCAGATTTTTGGATTTGGGACAGTCAACACATGTACAGCCAACAATGTAGTATGTGTCCTTGGAGATGTTTTAAAATGAAAAAGTAGAATTAAAGAGATGTTTTCATCAGAATAAGGCATATATAACACTTTGTTCTCTCTTTCTGAAGTTTATGTTAGTAATAAAATGACCATGCGCAGGACCTTGAACAAGCTTTGCTCCCTGGAATTACTCACCATCTCCACCTGGTCCCTTCACTCAACACTCCCGGCAGTAATGTCTCTGCAAGGAACAAATATGGGTTAAAAATAAAGCCTTAAGAACTTGCCCCCTCCTTGCCTAGGAAATCTGAACCCTCAGGCAATGCCATTCTTACAAAATGTGCTTTCTGATTACTTCCAGAAGGCAGGGCAGGCTGACCCTGCTGTCTCCTGTGGTGAAGTGGCTAAAACAATTCTCTTCACCAAGGCCACACAGTATCTGAACATTTCCAGTCCAACAATCAGTGCCTGGTGGCTTTGGCTGTTTCTAATACGTGTGTTTCATTCCTGTGCCAAGGGGTCCTCCCTCCACACTCACTGCCCAGTCTGTGACATGGCCACTTCTCTCCCTTCACTGCCTCCGCCTCTGCCCTGGATTTCTTCCTCTGTATCCTTCCCCTTTCTTCTGCTTGCTTTTTCCTCTTCAAATGTCAAGAGAGCTTGACTTTTCCCTACTTTACTTCCAAAAAAAGAGAGAAACTATTAAAGAGTTTCTACCAAGTTTCTGACACTGCTGTTTATAATCCTGCAGCCTGGAGTTGCTATTTCACTCCTGTTCTGCTCAATGCTTGACGTACGCTAAATTTAGAGGAGAATGACACTCAAGCTCACGGAAGGCTCCCGTTTTCATTGGCAATGGGCTTGGCTATGGTTCATGCCATTTCCTAATCTGTCTTGGCATTTTGCTCACTTATTAGGCACTTTAGAGAAAAAAAAAAAAAAAGTAAGATCACAGTCCGTCCTGATTTCTACACCCCCTTCCTTTCCTGAAGTCCTGTGGTCCCCAAGCCCTCCCCACACCACCTCAACACAAAGACGAAATTAATAAGGAAAATGTTCATGAGCTATCTCTCAGAATAAAGATATCCTGCTGCCAGTCATGTCCCAGTTCTCTTCTCCAAGTACAACACAGTGGAGGAAGAAAGGAAATTGCTGGCTGAAAATCCTGACCTTCTACCAATAGGACAGAAAATGTGCCTACTCATTCTGGGTCCTGTGCAGAGGAAGAAATGAGAAACAGCGGCTCTCCACTTTTTTTCAGGATTAACCTTACGCTCTTTTATTAGTTACTTGTTTAAAGATTGTAAGACACAAGTAAACGCACACCTGTTGTCACAGGGATCCACCCTAAGAGGTCTAGTCCCTCTTCAGCTACTCAAGAAGTATCCAAGATTCCATTCATTCATCTGTCTCCCCAACCAGACTCCTGGCCAAGCCCCTTTCAGAAAAAAACAATGTTGTCACAGGTTGCGGGGCTAGTCATCTTAAAGCGGTTGTAAGGTTTAGCTCGGCTTTGCCTGGACCAAACCAGTCTCTCAAAGACAATGACATTGTACTGTGTGTTTTCTAAATGCTGTACAGAAAACAAGGTATAGCTTTCCTAGGAGAGCAAAAAAATCTATATTGCAACAGAGTTGATAAGGAAGAACCAAAACTGAAGAGGAAAACTGAGATCCCTGTTGTGCTGAAAATTTTTTAAACTTTGATTTTTTATAAAAAGCTCCCTTTTTCAGTAAGGTGTGAAATAAAACCAAGTGATCAATGAAATAAGATTCACACCATTATGTCTCTGTCCTTTAAGAAGAATTTTGAGTAAACTGCCATTTTCTGTTACTTTTTTTATCTATGTTTCCTAAAATACAGAAGTACTTTTTGAGAGTAAAACTGCAAATTACTTCAAGTGAGAAAATTGGAAATGATTATAGAAACAGAATTACAAATGTTGATCCAGCATACTTCTAGGCAAATATATCACTGACAATCAAATCCCAGATAAGGACAGTCAAACTCCCGATAAAAGATTTTAGAAACCCATACACACATATCTGTTTCGACAGTCTGAGAGTGTTGTCCAACATAGAAACTTCAAACTCTGATTCCCTCCTAAAATCAGAGCCATTTTCTGCTAAAGAAAAAAAAGAGAGAAAAGAAAAACCTCCCCCTCTTAAAACTCTTGCGAAGCAAAGTATACAGACAGTTTCATCTAAAATTATCTTCCTTGCCAGTGAACGGTCCTTCCACGCAGAAAGGAAAAGTTACAGATGGTTGGAGCAGGGTGACAACGTAAGGATTTCACATACTTCTCCTTACACAATAATGTTGCCAGCTAAATCCTAACTTAGAAAAAAAGTCGCTCTGCACTGCTGAAAATCAGACCTTAAAGGGGGAAAAGCACAGATGAGAGCCCCATACCAATTGTTGACATGACCGAGTTGTAACTTGCTAATTCACACACACACACACACACACACACATTAAAAACTCGGAGTGCCTGCAAACACAGCAGGCAAACAGCTTAGAGAGTGAACAGAGGCGTGCAGAGGCAAGGACTGAACGGTACCCTACCTCTCCTGTCCGGCTCACACACTGGCCGATGAAAACCGCTGGCGATCCCAGGGCGTGCTGAGCAGCTCTGAAGGAGGTGGCCACTCGGCCCGCGGAGCGTGAGCAGGCCCAGCCTGTGCTCAGAAGCTGCCCCAGTCAGATTTTCCAACTGCAGAACTGCAGCCAAGTCCCTGCCCATGCCTGAAGAATTTCCTGAACAGCATTCCCGTTCTTTTTCTGACTGCTTTGAAACCGTACTCTGTACTTCAATATGGCTTTGTCAGACCGACTCACAGCTACTGGGCTGTCTCCAGCTATCAATGGGAAACACATGTGTCAAGCACAGGCTCACTCCCCTGCGGCAGCGCTCATGGTGTCTGCCGGGCTCATACTCACAACCAGAAAGGAAACTGCTTCTACCACCAATTCCGATTTTGCAGCCATCCTCCACACAGCCTCTGCTCTGTAGTGCTAGATGCTGGAGATAAGCCCTCTCTTCTGCTCAACACTGCCCCTTTTTCACTTGCTCCTTACACTTGAGTCCCCAGCTGACCCCTGTCAGCCCCCTGAGCTCTTGCCAGCCTTGATAACAAGCTTATTACAGCTGAGAGACGTAAATTCTAATTTGATCTCCCTACCTGCCGCTTCCTAAGTCTTTGCTCAAAATTTGAGTTGCTGGAGGGGGAGCAATATTTTTAGCATTTCCAGACGAGTACAGTTCTTCCGAGTTGTCCCCTCAACCTGATATGTATATCTCTGGCTGCAGTAACTAAAAATAATGCAATTATTTTTTAGGCACTTTTGTTGCTCTCTGCTCTGTAACTGTGCTGGTCCAAAAATGTAACATTTTATAGGCTGTTGCAATGTGTGTTATGGTTATGAGAAATAGAAAAATGTACTTTGAATCAGAATGTGTCCTAATTCTGTGCACCTGGATTATTTCTGGATGACACTCCCTCAAGATGCCCGGCATACATAGATTCAGCTGGATTTTGGGCTCTACCTTTGACATTTTCCCTTTAAGTGCAACAAGAGGAAATCTCAAAATAGGAGGACACCCCTCTTCTCCCACACTGAAAACCCCCCCTATGTAAAGAGGCAGAGCTAAGTTGTCAAGGTAACACTGTAGAAAAGCGGTGATTTTAAGAGAGGAGCATTTGTTTTGAACTGTTTCTTTTTTCTGTTTTTGGTATTAACATTTTACTTCCAAAAATCACATCCCATTAGCAACTTATTCAAAAGAACTGGCTTGCCTGATTGTAAGTGTTGTATGTTCTCGAGCGGATGTTGTAGATTCAGCGGGGTCTTGAACTTAGCATCAAATTACAGTGGACATTTTCAGCAGGATTAGTTTTTTGTCTTGGGAAGCAGTGGTGGGGGTGCGTGGGAGGTGCTTGTACATATCTAAGGTCAGGATGCAATTACGGAGTCAGATCTTTGGAGCTGGAAGACACCCCAAAGATCATCCAATCCAAATTAGTTTCTACCCTTTATTTTACAGAGGGAAGTAGAGGCCCAGACAGATGAGATGACTTGTCCAGGGTTTTAAAGACAGTTAATACCAGAGCTGAAGCTAGAAATGGGATTAGTGCTCTCTTTCTTTTATTGTACTTTAAGTTCTGGGGTACATGAGCAGATCTTGCAGGACTGTTGCATAGGTACACACGTCATGGTGGTTTGCTGTCTCTATTCCTCCGTCACCTACATCAGGCATTTCTCCCAGTGTTATCCCTTCCCAACCTCCCCGCACCCTGCTGTCCCTCCTTTAGTCCCCCATCCCCCAACAGACCCCAGTGTGTGATACCCCCCTCCCTGTGTCCGTGTGTTCTCGTTGTTCAACACCCACCTATGAGTGAGAACATGCAGTGTTTGATTTTCTGTTCTTGTGTCAGTTTGCTGAGAATGATGATTTCCAGGTTCATCCATGTATCTACAAAGGACACAAACTCATCGTTTTTTATGGCTGCGTAGTATTCTGTGGTGTATATGTGCCACATTTTCTTTGTCCAGTATATCACTGCTGGGCATTTGGGTTGGTTCCAGGTCTTTGCTATTGTAAACAGTGCCACAATGAACATACATGTGCATGTGTCTTTATAATAGAACGATTTATAATCCTTTGGGTATATATCCAGTAATATGATTGCTAGGTCAAATGGAATTTCTATTTCTAGATCCTTGAGGAATCTCCACACTGTCTTCCACAATGGTTGAACTAATTTACACTCCCATCAACAGTGTAAAAATGTTCCTATTTCTCTACATCGTCTCTAGCATCTGTTGTCTCCAGATTTTTTAATGATCACCATTCTAACTGGCATGCTCTCTTTTTCTATGTGCTTTCTCTACTGCAGCATAATTTGGGAAGGTGATATCATCTAGCCTTATAATCAGATGGCCTGGGTCTAATCTTAGCTCTGCATCTTACTGGCTATAAACCCTGATCAGCTTTCTTAACCTCTCTCCGTCTGTTTCTGCATCTGTGAATGGGAATAATAGAACCCACCTATAGAATTGTTAAGGATTCAGTGAGATAATCTATGTAAACTATTTATTACTGCCTACAAATACATTTCGGTTTACTTTATTTTTAATGGAGCAAAAGCCAAACCTTTTCTCTAACCTATAAGCAAAATTGTACTCTGTCATCTAATGTGAGTTCTATAGTAAAGTATTTGAGTGGCTAGTTTGTTGCTGCTTTAACTTTATGTAATAGGGGCCTATCACCGTAAACTTGGAGAACCGTCCTGAAGCCTTATTGGAACATTAAGCCAGCCACACAGCTACTTTCCATTTATTCCCTAAACTTAATACTGAAGTTCTTTCCTTGAGATTAACTCACAGAAAAGAAAAACAGCGAGATCAAATCCGCAGTCAGTTACAGGAGGCTGAACAAAGCGCCATTCTAGGGAACTGGCCTTTCTCTTTATACCTTAAGAGCTCAAAATTACCACTCTATAAATAGAAGACTATTAACAATTGCAACGTCCATGTTTGGAAACTGCAACATCCCAAATTAACAACAATAGCCAAATAAAATCCCACAAGCTGAGGAAGAAATCTTTCTGAGAAAATAGCTGCTACAAATTCTAAAGAATCAGATTTCTCCGTGGGGTTCCACAGCCTCTGTCTTAGAGCCAGTGGTAGCAAATGGCTAAGGAACCGCTTATTGTTTGTTATTCACGTTTTGTGCCCAGCTTCTTTTGGGGGAAACAAAGAAATTTTAAAAAGTCGAAGAAGTTAATTTTGAATGTTCTGGTTACCAGTTAGAAAAAAAAAAAAAAGCGACAACAGAAAAACTGAAGCTCGGACTTAGCTCTAATCAATGATGTTATGATTCATGAGGCCCTGCGCCCGTGCCTCCCCAAAGACCTGCTATATGGCTCATTTCAGTGTGGACATCTGGAGAGACCTCAGTCTGAGACCCAGCTTTATTACTGCTAGCTAGAAAATCCTGAAAACTTACTTAATTCTTCTAATATTAAGAAACATCATGAAAAACTTGAAAAAGAAAGCCAAAAGGTAGTTATGTTTTTATTTTTTCAGTATCACGTGGGAATTGCTTAACAGGCTCTCTCAAGAATTTAAGGGGAATGTCATTTGTTGAACTTAGTTTGCTACTGAAAAAGGTTTCCACATTTAGTATAGGTACATGCTAACTTGGAGACTTTTATCCAATAAAGATGCAAATAATTTCTTTTCAGTAGAGAAAATGACCTCAAATGTGATAATTTATTGCCCTTCAGGACATTACCAGTCTTATACCCAAGGTAGCGATCTCTGCTAACATCCCTATGTTAACAAACCTATAAATAAGGAGCTCCTCAGATGTTATTGGAAACAGTCTTACCATCACACCAATTCCTCTATTGAGGAGTCACACAAAATGTCTGATGTATCTTCATTTCATATTTACACATCGTGTTTTTAACTTGTTAAAAATTATAATTTGACAGTTTCATTCTTTTCACCTATATGATGAATGTTTTGAATATTATGTGAGACAATGTGTGACAAGCACTTAGCAAAATGCATGTCACACAGAAAATGATCAAACTATGTAAGCACAACTAGTATATAATACAATAGGACTGTACTTGGTTCTCAGTTTTGCAAAGGACTCCTCATGAGTCTCCTTCCTATCACACCGTTTTTATCCTTAGCATTAGATTCCTGAATCCCCTCTACAATGGCTGCTCCTGCTGAAATCCTTCCATATGTGGTGACCTCTTTGCTTCTCAGACTTCTACTTTTAATATTCTAAAATTACAACTAAAATATGTCTCCCTATAACACATTCTATGACTGCTAATCACAGAAGTTGGCTAAAAATTATAATCTTGAAGATCATGTGAACCAAAAAACTCATTCTTCACTTGAACATAAACTCCACAAGGGCAAGGATTTTTGTCTACCTCATTTTCTGTCATTTCTCCAATGCCTAGGATGGGTATATCATAGACCCTCATTTTTACCCATTGAATAAATAACATATTTTGACTTACTTGAAAACTGAGATTCCTACAACATCCTTTTCAAAAGGTATTTTGACTGTAGATTAAACATATCTGGAGCTACTGGACCATTCCTCTCCATTGTGGTTTAGATTGCCTTTGTCACCTGGCTGGCTTCTTTCCTGGGAATATTTCAGTTTCCTTAATTTCCTCCTTGAGTGAGGTGCTGAGAAGTGAACAAAATTTGCAGGCATACTGGGTCTAATGCAAAGAGAGCAGGAACTCCCTCTCTCATTCAGAAACCGTACTTCTATTGGTGCGATCCATGAACATATTAGGTTTGGAGAAAATAATTTGGAATCACACTGTGTCAAGTCAGCTTGGACACTCTACTACAGGCACTAGTATTAACGTCATCTCTCACATCATTTATATCTATGATTTTGAAGCCTAGATTTATGTTAGAATCATCTGGTATAGCTTTTAAGATGACTAGAGCCAGGGTCCCACCCCAGAGGTTTGGATTCTATTAGAATCACATGGCCGCCAGGCAACAGTATTTTTTAATCCTCTCAGATAATTCTAATATGAGCCAGACTTAAGAATTACTAAGTTACAGGATCTGTTTTTTTTTTTTTTTAGGTGGAGTCTCACTTTGTCACCCAGGCTGGAGTGCAGTGGCGTGATCTTGGCTCACTGCAATCTCCGCCTCCCAGGTTCAAGCGATTCTCCTGCCTCAGCCTCCTGAGTAGCTGGGATTATAGGCACACACATCATGCCTGCCTAATTTTTGTATTTTTAATAGAGACAGGGTTTTATCATGTTGGCCAGGCTAGTCTTGAACTCCTGACCTTGTGATCTGCCCTCCTTGACCTCCCAAAGTGCTGGGATTACAGGTGTGAACCACTGCACCCATCTATTACAGGATCTTTTAAAACATAAACCTGATTGTGCCACTCCATGACTTCCAGTCTTTAAATGGCTGACCATTGCCTAAAAGAGAATAGCAGTAACCTCAACCGGTCCCTCACACATTTCCTGAGCCTCATCTGCTGCCACTCCCTCATTCTTCTAATCCCTCAAATAAATCATGTATCTTTCCACTTTAGGAGCTTGAAGGAAAGCTGTTCTCACCTTCTGAACAGACTTTACTGTTTTCTAGAAATTGCCCTCACTTTTTTCATG